AACTGTTGATCTCATCGTGGTTTAGCTCTGGTTGTTACCATAATTTTGTACATTCATCCATTTCTTTTAGATTTTTCATAGAGTAAAGGTTTCTAAAGTACACCTTTATAATGTTCTGGATATTTTTGGTCTATTGTGTTGTTTCCCCTTTCACCTCTGATTTTCTTGATATGGATTTGCTCTTTCTTTCTTTTGGTTAATTGGGCTAAAGGTCTATGTATGTTATTTATCTTTTCAAAGAAATAGTTCTTAGATTCATTGATTTTTGCATTGTTTACTTTGCTTCTATTTCATTAATTTCTGCTCTGATTTTTGCTATTTCTTCTCATATGCTGGGTTTGGGTTTCATTTGTTCTTGCCTTTCCAGAGTCTTGAGTTGCAACATTAAGCCATTTGTTTGTGCTCTCTCAGATTTTTAACTGTAGGCACTTAGAGCTATAAACTTCCCTCTTAGGACTGCTTTTAAGGTATGCAAGAGGTTTTGTTGTGTTTTATTATCTTGTTCATTTAGTTCCAGGAATACTTTTATTTTTTCCTTAATTTCTTCTTTGACCCATTCATCATTCAGAAATGTGCTGTTTAATCTATATGAGTTCATGTAGTTACTAGAACTTCTTCTGGTGTTGTCTTTAAGCATTATTGCATTGTGGTCTGATAGAATGCATGGACTTTCTGTATGTATGTATGTATGTATGTATGTATGTATGTATGTATTTGTGGAGGTTTGTTTTGTGCTAGAGTATGTGGTCCATTTTAGAGAAACTTCCAGTTTCTGTTGCCTCTTAAGTTGTTCCTTTCTTCAACCCTTTGTATTGCTTCAAATATTCTCTGAAAGCCTGGTTTGCTGGACACAAATGCTTTCAACTGGTTTGTGTCATGGAAGATTTTTCTTTCCCCTTCAACTGTAATAGACAGGTGTTTTTTGTTTTGTTTTGTTTTTATCTTTTTGAAGCAGGGTCTCCCCTGTAGCCCCAGCTGTCCTAGAACTCACTATGTATACCAGGCTGGCCTCGAACTCAAACTCACAGAGATCCACCTGCTTCTGCCTCCCAAATTCTGCCCAGCAATAATAGACAGTTATATTGTGTAAAGTATTCAGGGTTGTCATCTATGGTCCTTTAGAACTGGGAATACTTTGGTCCAGGCTCTTCTGACTTTCATAGTTTACATGGAAAATCAGCTGTAATTCTGATGGGTTTTCTTTTATATGTGACTTTTTGTTTTTCTCTTACAGCTTTCAGAATTCTATTTCTGTTCTGTACATCGAGTGCTTTTACTATGACATGCCGTAAGGAGAGTCTTTTCTGGTTCTAACTATTTGGTGCTCTGTGTGTTTCTTGTACTTGTATGTGTACGCCTTTCCTTACTTTGGGGAAATTTTCTTCTACAGTCCTGATGTAGTTCTGGTCAACACAATTTACTTGAGATTCTTCTCCTTTCTCTATTCCTATGATGCATACATGTTGTCTTTTTATAGTGTCCCACATTTCCTGCATATTCCATTCCTTCATAAAAATTTTTTCATATTATTTCCTTGAGTGCTTCAATTCTTCAACTTTATAGTCTAACCTTATTATTCAGTTTTCCCTTTCATTCATTAAATTGGTGAGGCTTTCTCTTGTTTTGAATCACCTTACCTAGATTTTTATTTCCTTCTTCATTTTAGCCCAAGTGGTCTTCAATATTTCTATCTCTTCTTTGAATTCAGTCAGAACTTTATCCCTATCTTCCTTCAGTTCTTTGAGTTTTTTGTGTGTTCTTTAAATTCATTGAATTATTTGATTATATTTATGACTGTTCCTTTAAATTCTGTGTCCTGTGTTATCTCTAGGGGTTTCTCATTATAGAACTCTTCTATAGGATTGATGTTTTTTGGTGGGAACATATTTTAGTTTGTCACATTTCATATTATTACTTTTTCATTGTGTTTTTTCATGTGAATTTTTTTGTTGCTCCTGATTCTGCTATAAATCCCAATCCTTCCTTTGTTGACATGCAGTTTGATTTTGTTCATATTTTTGATGTACCTTGGTTGCTTTCTGATTGGTCTAAGCTTCAGGATCTCTTTGATTTTATACTTGTGGGACCAGATCGCTCCAGCCAGGCTATTGAGGGCTCTCCAGGAGGGTCAAATGTCCCTAGCTAGTTCAGAACACTTCAGAAGCCTCAGATCTATAGTGCCAAGGTCAAAGGAGAGGAGATGGGAGATAGATGAGCTGGTCCCTACTAGTCAGCAGGGAAGCCCTAGCCCTGGAGCAGTGTTAGAGGTCATAGATTGTCCCAAAGCAGTGAGATGGGAATGGTCCTATTTGGGAAACTCACCCTATGGGGATTGAGTCAGGTGTTCTTAGGCAGTCTGCAGAGTGCTGGGCCCCTACTCATACATAGTCATTTATAGAAAAAAAATCTTTCCAAATCTCAAAGGATGAAATAACACTGACAATGTCTAGATTTGGGATTATGATAGGTTTTAACATATCTTCATACTGTTCTCCTGTCCTCAGTTTTTCAGCAATTAACACTGACTACTTTTGTAGCAAAAAAAAAAAAAAAAAAAAAATCAAAATGGTGTTTAAAGCAAAAACATATGCAACAAAATGTATGCAGTTAATGTTTCCGTGATGTGGACTATGACTGAGCCAGCAGTCTTTGCTGGCTTCCCTAGTCTTGGCTGGTAGTTGTACAATTTGTTTCCTGGAGCAAGTCATGAAGTTCTCATATTCTCTTTACTTTCGTGTAATATGGAGATTAAAAAGAACTATCAGCTCAGAGGTTTGGGAGGAGAACTAATAGAGATGATATTTTTAAGCTCCAGTTACCTAGGACATCTGAGCTCACTGACTGGCAGTCCTTTGGCTGTTACTGTACACATTCAGAGCTAGTCACTCCACAGTATGCATTTACCTACTTTCCTTATTTTGTAGCCAAAAATCCTCTACTTTTGTTGAAGGAGCAATCTGTACTTGAACAGTTAGAAAACTTAGGGCAAGTACATTTACTGAGTTTCCCAGGCTGGCCTTGCATAATGCATTTTAATCAAGAATCCATATGTCAATTACATTTTGAAAAGAACCAAGGTTTTTGCAAAGCCCAGTTCTTGATTAGGCTGTTAAACAAGATTAGTAAATAAACAAAAATGTAAACAACAAAATGATTTCTGCTTACTCTCTAAAGGCTGCTAAAAAGGAGCTAGTATATGTCTATGTTTTATAGAGATGAAGTACTAAGGAAATGCAAGAAAACTAGCATTTTCTGCAGACAAAGTCTGCCTCTTTTATTTAGTTAGATTATTTCTTGCAGTGTTTTAGTGCTGTTTCTGCCTGCAGCATTGCATAGAGGAGTTCTGATTTTACTGTGGAACAAATAACAACCACTGGTTCTTTGCATATCCTCAGTGCCTAGGAGAGTGTCTGGCTGTTAAAAGCTCCATAAATAATCTGGCCTAACTGCAGAGGAGCCTGGAGCATGAACACTCATGAGATTTGAGATACCTGATTTTCCTGCTTCATTACATGCTGCAGCTGGCATCTCTGAAGACTAGGGACTAGGATTTGAAATTGTGTGTGTGTGTGTGTGTGTGTGTGTGTGTGTGTGTGTGTGGTCTCGTCTGCACCAATTAATGACGGTAAAATGGAAGGACTGTTGCATAGCTAATGTTTAAAAGTACCTATCACATCAAGGTTTGTCACTGTGGAATTTTATTATAAATTGGCCATCTGATGCCATTTCTTTTTCTTAACATTTATTTTATTCATTTGGAGATTGAGGTTGAGCACATGTACATCACTGTGTTCCTGTGGAGGTCAGAGCACAACCTGAGGAGTCAATTCTCTCTTTTGTGCATGTAGGTCAAAGGGATCATACTAAGATGCTATTTCTAAACATGTAATATCCACCTCTCTATATGTTCTTCTGTTCTTGAGAAAGAAGTTAAAGGCTATCAGAATATTGCCAGGAAAAGCAATAATAGCCCATGGTTTTTTGCAAGGCAACTGTGTGATAACCAACTAATATACTCAGTTTGAACTAAGGTTCTTGGAAGAGGCATTTACCTTGAACAGTCTACAAAGGCTGGTTAACTGATTAAAACTTCAGTGATTGTGGTGAGGTTAGAATGTTGCAGATCCAGAGCCAAATGAACTTGGTCTTTGTTTGTGGAGTAGCTGGGTATTACACATCTCTGTGGACTACTGAACATTCTGTGACTGTTAGATAACTCCTTTTGGAACGTATAAGCAGACCTAGCTAGGAATGTCATCAGATAGCATCTGAGATATACAGCAGCTTTGCTGCCTTTGCAATTTTGCTGTAACTGCCTACTTGATGTTTCCACCAATATATTTGAAAAGTGTCTTGATTTATGTTGTTACTATAAAGATCTTATGAAACTGACATTGGAACATAGAATTTGGTGGTCTCTGGGCCATGATCACTTCTACTCAGCTCCAGAATAAGCTATCTCTTATCTCCTTTGAAGTGAGAGTGATATTTTGGGTCTTCACTAGCTGGTCTGATACACCTGGCTATCTGTGATCTCCATAGCTTCGTGGTGTGGTAGCTTTCAGTCCCATTTCACTGATGGGCATCTGAAAACCAGAGAGAAGGTAGGACTCACTTAGATACACAGTCTCCAGGGCCAAGCATGAACAGGACTTCTGCTTTCTGATCCAGGGCTTCCCACTGGTTTTCATGCTTTGTTTGTTCGTTGTTCATTCTCCTTTTCTTTTGTTTTTTGAGTCTTAACATAGAAAATGTCCTTAGCAAGCCCTACAGTAAATACTTGGTAATTGATTTTGTGTTTGGTAGAATAGTATCAAGACCATGGCCAAGTTTCCTCCACCCTCTCTCTTGAAAAATAACCTAGCTAATTCTTATTATCAAAATACTGTCCTTTCCCCACAAGCTAGTCCTTCAAAATTTTGTTCACTCAGGTGTCCCCTTCCAGTAACTTCCTTTTCTTTCATACCAGGTTAAGCACACTTGGAAATTCTGGCCCTTACCAGTGATATTGCAGTACACTTGGAGAGGTCCCAGCGGCCCGCTGCCATCAGAGTCAATGAAGAAGAACCCAGCCATGTTCCCTCGGTGCCTGTACACTTCACAGGATTGCTCATAGATGGCTGAAAAGACACAAAGGCAAACTTTGCTTGTCTCTTCATAGTGCCCTACAGGGGTCAGCAGCTCCTGCCTATGTTTGCTGCTTGTGTTTCTTCCTTTCTCTTTGAGCCGCCCCAAAGGCCTTTGCAACCCAGTGTTCTGGTACTTCATGGAGTTCTACACTACTGGTTTCATTTCTGTTGCTGTGATAAAATACCCTGATAAAATGCAACTAAGGGGAGAAGAGTTTGTTCTAGGTCACAGTTCCAGGTTATTGACCATTGTTTCCAGAAAGTGGAGAAGGCAGGAACTTGAAGCAACTAGTTACGACACATTCACAACCCAGAGCAGAGAGAAATGAACTCATATGTGCTGACTTGTGTACGCTCAGCGGAGTTTTTCCAGTTTTTACAGTTCAGGGCCTAAACTAGAGAATGGTGGCATCCATACCCACTATGCATGCTGGGTCTTCCCACAGATACATGCCCACAGGCCAACTCAATGTAAATAATCCCTCATTAAGACTATCTTCGAAGTTGATCCTAGGTTCATTTTTCTACATGCATTTCAGGAGATACATCTACCATAAGGTCTCTCCTATTTCTTATCTGTTCCTCATCTTTGCCAATTTACATTCTGGCCCTACAGTATCCAAAGCTAGGATCATCAACATATTAGTTTATCTTCCAGAATGTGCTACAAGATAGCTAAGAATTCTGGCTTAGTACCACTTGATATTGCATCACAGACTCCAGCAGAGTTCTAGATACACATCAAAGCTCAACAAATATTTGAATGCTCAATTTTAAAAATGAATATATGTAATTATGCCTTTTTACCAATAAAGCACAAGGACATTTTCTCTGTGGGGGTGGTTTGTAGGGTATGTATGTGAAGTTACACATGCATGTGCTTATGCATGTGGAGCCAGTAGTCATGTGGAGTATACATATGTGTAGTTATACATGCATGTGTCCTGTGTGCTTATGTATGTGGAGCCAGTAGCCATGCAGGGTGTGCGTGCTTCACATGCATTTGTGTGTGCTTGTGTTTGTGGAGTCAGTAGTCATCTTTGGGGTTGTTCCTCAGATCTAGCCACCTTAGTTTTTGAAACAATGGTCTCTTCTTTGACCTGGCCTTACCAATTTGGCTGGGCTGGCTGGCCAGTGAGCCCTAGGGATCTATCTGCTTATCTCCAACTCCCCAGCTCTAGGAATATAAGAATGTGCTTACATGCCATGCCTGGATTTCATGTGTTCTGGTGATCAGAGTTGGGTGATCATGCTTGCGAGGCAAGCAGTTTATCTACTGAGATATCTCCCCAGCCCGAAGGATACTGTCTTCCATCTATATCTCTAGCTCTGCATAGTAACTGGCATAGAATAGGTTTAGATCCAAGTTCGGTATATCCTCACTTAATCTCTTACTAATTTACAGATATATGCCCACAAATGTAGTTTTCACAAGAGAATAGAACTGTGTCTGAGGCCGTCAGCCTCTGTCCCCGAGCTCACCACCCAGAGGAGACACAGAGGTCCTTGTGTGCTTACATATGGCAGGCATGGGTCATAGGTACCCCATAATTTGGAGCTTTAACTTATCTACTGATGTGAGAAATACGTTACTCTTATTGAATCATCATGAATAAATTTGGAGGATTGTAAGGAGATGGTTGAAAAGACACATAGACTATCTTATGCATTAAAAAAATATCTGATACTTCAGACAAAATACTGTCACTCAGATCTGTAGGAATGCATTCAATTTTATCACCCAGCCATGCTTAAAACATTTCAGTGGCTCCCAGCATCCTTCAAGATAGAGTGCATGCTCGTCACCTTAGCCGACTCCTGCCCCTGTGACTAATGCCCCATCTCAGGAATATGAAGCTGTCGTTAGTCATGATCAAGTGTAAGAGGCACCTCAAATAATTCATTACTGGTGAAGTTCTGAAGCCAGAAAGAGTTGGAGATTTTTTTATAAATTAAGAGAGCATTCAAGGTTGTGCCTGTGCCCGTGAAACCCTCACCAGCATTCCTCTACTGTCTAAAGCAGGGGTAAATGCATGTGTCATGTTGGGTCCTGTATATTGAACAGAAGGCACAGCATACATACTTGCTAAAATTTCATAATGCATTTGGGTGTGTGGCACACATGTGAACATCAAGTCCTACAAGTATCCTCTCCACAAGCATTCCTACACTCATATGAAAGGCATTGCCATTGCCATTTTCTCAGAAACATGATGGGTAAACACCACCCAAATAGCTAGTGGGTGTTTGCATAATGGTTGAGAACACAGGGTAAGAAAGATGGCTCAGCAGGTAAAGGTACCTGCTGCCAAGCCTGACACCCTGAATTCCATCCCTGGAACTCACATAGTAGAAGTTGGAGCACTGACTCTGGTAAGTTCTCCTCTGACCTCTACACATGTACTATGTTATACATGCATACACACATGCACACACAGAGATATATACACACAATATAATTTTGTAAGATGGAATTTAAAATGAACTGGGTTATGTTTTACAGAGTTTGCTTCTCACTACCTATGGTGGCATGTAAGGCTGATTCCTCCTACTCCTAAGGTGAGCTTTGGGATGGACACTTCTTGATATTCAGATACTCCTTTTGTTTTAATTACTTTTATCATTGCTGTGACAAAATACCTGATGGGAAACAATTTAAGGGAGGAAGCCTTTGTTCTGGATGCAGTTCAAGGGATACAGTTCATGATGGTGAATAAAACATAGGGGCAGATGGAGAAGACATAGGGGCAGGGGTAGGAGATAGTTAAAGAGTGAACAGGAAGTTGAACCTGTCTATGAAACCTCAAGGGCAACGCCCAGTGACCCACGCACTGCAGCAAGGTTCTTCTTCCTGAAGGTTTCACAATCTCCCCAAACAGTGCCACCAGTTGAGGACCAAGTATTCAAACATGCGAACAATTGGGGAACATTTCACATTAAAACATTAATTTCTTATTAAGAAATTCACCTTTGCTGGGTGTGATGGTGCATGCCTTTAATCCCAGCACTTGGGAAGGATAGGCAGGCAGATTTCTCGGAGATCAAGGTCAGCTTGGTCCCCATAGCAAGTTCTAGGCCAGCTGGGACTATAGGAAAACCCTGTCTCAAAACATCAAAAAAAAAAATCATCTTTATCCTAAGTATATTGGATTTATTGGCTGGTTCTGAAGAAATACATGATAGAAGCAATAGACATCATTGTTAAGATTCAATTATAAAAAGGCAATGACCACAATCTTGGGAGCTCCTGCATTGCTCCCTGAGAGAGAAGTCATTGACCTCTAAAGAAGGGAGCTCTATGGAGAAGCCCTATATGAGACAGCTTAGATGCTTCTGCATCTTTCTAGGAGGGTGAGCACATGTCCACGTGATTGAAGAGGGGCTTGATAATCAACTAAAGTTATACAGACCTGGCTATTCTTTCTTTAGAAATCACATCTTCCCGTTCAGTTACATAAGTATCTGGGATATCCAATTCTATGTCTGCAAGAATCTTCAAATGTAAATTTATTCTTTCTTAGATTCTACTATTTGTGTGTGTGCACATGTATGTATAGTGTATTTTGATGTATGTGTATGTGTATGTAATCATGTGTGTGACTACAGTGTCACGGTGCTTAGGTGGAGGTCCGAGGACAACCTCCAGTTTCTATCCTCCCCTGTCACCTTATATGAAGCAGATTCTCTTTGTTTTCTGCTGTGTATGCCAGACTATCTAGCTTATTAGAGTTCAGATTTCCCCTGTCACTGCCTCCCAACTCCCTAGGGAGCACTGGGATCACAGCCACTGGAGTTGCAAGTCCTAATTTTACATGTTTTCTTGGATTAACAAGCCATCTCCCCAGCCCCAGGTTATACTATTTATTTTCTTAAAGATTTTATTTTTATTTCTTCTTGATCCATTTCTCTGTGTGTGTCCCATGTGCGTGAGGATACCCACAGGGGCCAGAACAGAGTGCCAGATCCCCTGTTGCTGGAGTTACGAGTAGTTGTAAGCTGCCTGATGTAGGTGCTGGGAAATACATGCAGGTCCTCTGGAAGGTCCGCAAGTCCTTTCAGACAGTGAGAGCCATCTCTTGTCCCCAAGATTCTACCATTTCTCAGTTAGGATTTGATTCTGTAGATGAGCTCATTTGCTGCTCTCCACCTCTTCACTTTCCAGCCTTCAGTGTTTCCATGCTCTTACCACCTGTGCTTTGTTGGCTTCACAGGTTGTGAGGGCAGCATTAAGATCTCACATGCTGTTCCAGCCTCTGCAATGGGTGGTTCACCCTGGCCAGCCCTCTGAGCTACTACATAAGAAACACCTGTTTCTGCTCTTGCCTCCCTGGCTCCTGGCCAGGTGCACTGAAAACCTCTAAGCACACAGTCAGGAACATCACTGGCCTGGAAGGGATAAATGGGAAGGTACTTCTCTCTTGAATCACAGAGCTATTAAAAATTCATTTGTTACTATTTGTGTGTGACTTTAGGATGAATTGAAGTTAAATAGCCATATTCAATCTACCCTCTGTTCCAAGAAGCCAAATTTGTTCTTTTTATTTATAGAATTGTAAACAAAAGTTCCCAGAAAGAAATTGTCTTTAACTGAACTTTCTGCAAGGATAATTAACTGATTAGACCTTAAATGATTGTGGAGAGTTTGGAAATCTGCCAGTACAGTGCCTAGTTACAGTGTTTCTCAGGTTATCCTTAGCCCCTAAATAGCCATTCCTTGCCCACCACTATGTCTAACCTATTGGAATGCATTAATTTATCCAATCCCTAGTTTCCACCAATGAAAAGGCTGAGTTTAGCATCAGATAGCATCTGAGGCCTGTAGCTGAGCCATCTCGACCTCCTTCAACCCACCTAATGTTTCCACTGATGTTATTTTACAAGTGCCTTGGTTTATGGCTTTCTTTGTTCTGTTGCCATAAAATATTTACCGAACTCTTGCCAGAGTGAAACATGGAATTTGGAGTAACGTAAACTGTGTTCCTAGGCCATAG